TACATATAGTTTAAATAAATTTGTTTTCAGAATTATAGTGTAGTACATTAGAGGGGCAGGTCTTTCAAACCACCCGTAACAGTTGTAATAGATCATACATACCTGAAATATCATAACTGATATTTCCCCCTTGCAGGACTGCCATCCATCCTAAAGGAGTTCTCACAACGTTGAGGGGACCGTCTGTACGTCGACTGCCCTAATTTTTTTTCTCCCCGGTTTTTAGGGAGTCGGACCTCCAAAAGGTCCGACTTGTGTAGAGGTCGGGCCTCAGAAGAAAATAAGAAAAAGAAAAGAAAATTTTTTTTTCACCCCGGGGTTTTTTGGCAGTTTATACTCCAAAAGCCCCATGGGGAGTTGTGAGTTGGCAGCAAAAAAAGGAAATTGACAGCCGGGATGATTCCTCTCAGCCGTCAAGAGTATACCCTCTTGGCGGCAGGGAGGATTCCTCTTGGCTGTGGCGAGGGTACACTTTCAACAACCAAGAGTGTACACTCTTGATGGCCAAGAGGAACGTACACTCTCAGCAACTGAGAGGAATCCCTCTTGGCCTGCTGAGAATTGTACACTCTCAGCAACCAAGAGTAATCCCTCTCGGTCGCTGAGAGCTGTATACTCTCAGAAGCCGGGAGGAATCTCTACGGCTGCTGAGATTGTACAACTCAGCAGGTCAAGAGGGATTCCTCTCAGTTTCTGAGAGCTGTACACTCTCAGCGGCCAGGAGGAATCTCTCCCGGCCACTGAGAGTTGTACACTCTCAGTGGGCCAAGAGGGATTCCTCCCGGCCACTGAGAGTTTGAGAGCCGTACACTCTCAGAGGGCCAAGAGGGATTCCTCCCAGCCACTGAGATTTTGAGAGCCGTGCACTCTCAGCGGGCCAAGAGGGATTCCTCCTGGCCACTGAGAGTCATACACTCTCAGCAGCCGGGAGAGATTGCTCTTGGCTCGCTGAGAGTGTACAGCCCTCAGCGACCAAGATTCCTCCTGGCCGCTGAGGGTGTACAGCTCTCAGCGGGCCAAGAAGAATCCCTCTAGGCCGCTGAGGGCTTTCCGGCACCAGCCGACTCTCTACCCCCCATGGGGTTTTTGGAGTATGCACTTCCAAAAAAACCCTGGGGAAATCAAAAATTTTCTTTTTTTTTTCTTATTTTCGTCTGAGGTCCGACCTCTCAACAAGTTGGACCTTTTGGAGGTCCAACTCCCATAAAACCGGGGAGAAAAAAAATTAGAGGGGTCGATGTCCAGGGGACCGTCTGCAGACCGTCCCCTCAACGTCCCAAATATTTGGGAGTCGGAACTCCAATATTTGGGAGTTGGTTGACTAAGACCCTTATTTTATCAATTTGTCATTAATTAAAGTTGCAAGGTGCAACTTCTAAGTTTTGGCCTGATTAATAAGATCAGGCAGGTCTTGAAAAATTCCAGACCAAACATCAAGAAAGTTTTGAGGGAGCGTCATGATTTCAAATCTTGTGACACTCCCACCAAAACACTGGAAACTCAGCACCTGAGTTTGTCAACCTCTGGCCAGCGCTAAGCTGCCAGATGCGCCCCCCGCAGCCTGAGACTTGTGAAAAGTTTGTGTTTTCCCAACCTTGTTGGATGGCCTCCTTCATTTCATCGAGGGACTTGGGTTGGTAGTACTTGACAATTGCAGTCTTCATAGTTTTCCAGAAGTTTTTGATTGGGTTCAGATTGGGTGACTGGGGCAGCCATTCAATGGTGTTTATGTAGATGTCTTGTTGAAAGGATTTGCTGAGCTTGGCTGTGTGTGATTGGGTTTTTTCTTCCATCAACAAGAGTTGATGGTCTGGATTGATGGCAGCAAGTGTTTTGACATGACATCCCTTGTTCTTTTTAAGGAAAACAATGGGTATCTTTGTTGTTCCAAAGAAGGCCCCCCAGATTGAAGTTGATGACCTGCCACTCTTAAAAGTTGGTTCAAGACATTCAGGCTGTTGCCAAACCTTCACCTGCTGCAACCTCTTCCCAGTTTCAAAGGATGATTTGTCCAACCAGATTGCCTTGGACCCATCTGATATTGTCCAATTGAGGTGTGCACAAACAAAAAGCAGTTGTTTTTCTTCGTTTTTATCATTGATAAATGGCTTCTTGAAGGCAATACAACTGTTGTATCCAATATCGTGAGCTCTTTGTCGGACGGTTGATCTTGAAACGGGAGTGGCCATGGTATTGGTCACCTCTGCTAGGGTTGACTTGGGGTGGCTTGAAAGGGACTGTCAAAGCTTCATCAAGTCTTGCTCACTATTCAAACAAGGTCAGCCGCTCTTCTCAGCGGTTTTGACAGTCCCACGAGTCCAAGCCCGTGAAATGATTGAAGAGACCATTGTTTGTCCGGAGCCCACAAATTAATCCTCACAACTTGCCCATGAGACATCCCAGCTTTAACCATGCCGGAGATGTGAGCCTTCTGCTTGGTCGTGAGGTTGAGTTGTCCTTGGATATGTCCCATCAAATTGATCCTGTTCCACATGAATGAAGAAACAAAGAAAAAAAAAAAAAAAAAAGAAGAAATAAAAAACAAAAAACAATAGAAATACAGACTGATGTCTGATTCCGCGTATCAAATTTGTCAAGGCCAAGGTCAACTGGGTTTGTTCCAAGGTCAATTGAAGTTGTTCCGAGATCAATTGTTGATGAGAGAGGTTGTTCTGTGATGGGTTATTGGCCAATGAAGAGGTTGACTTCTCGCACACTGCAGTTTAGTGCGCGAGTGAAATTTAACTTGTGACAGTTCAACCCCAGAAATAGTAATGTGGGAGGATAATGCACATTGTTTACATCTGTGGGACCAATGTTGGATTTTCTACCCCATCCAATTGTTTGACTATTTTTTCTAGATCATTATTTCTGATTATGTTGAATGTGGGGTGTGTTCTACTAAGTGACAACCTAAAAGAAGATTGGCATCCCTTCCAACAGCACATGCACTCTGGTCCAGTTAGTGTAGCTGGCCCCATGTTGTAAATTTGCTGGCTTCGGATTTTTTCACTTTTCTTAGTCATACTTGTAGTTTTTGTTTGTTTGACATTCTAGTAGGATTTTTTGATTGAAGATCTTTCTAGGAAACTTAGATTTTGCACTACTAAATTTTAGCAGCAAGTCAGTTTTAATGCATGCAAATCTGGTCTGGTGGGCAGAGGGGGATGTGGAATAGGAGGAATGAGATTAATGCTTTTTACTAGTCAAGGTTGGCCAAAGAACTCTGTGTATGTAATCCATTCTCAAAAAAAAAAATGATGTGGTTCCAAGAGGATTGATGAATGAAGAAACATCTTTTCCAGGAGTAGCTGTCCACCCAAGACTAAGAGCATATCTTCCACTGCCAGGTAGATGGGTACACATACTTGCGGCCCATCAAGTAAGGCTCCAATCTGGACCCTGTAGGTCTGCAGGTGCTATCCAATTGGGTCAGGTCAAACATGCATCCTCAATATACCTGGTGTCCAATCAGATCTTTCTATATGTCAAAACCTGCCCCTTGTGGCATAAACTTGATTTTTGTAGGGGGGGGGTTGGACTTTTTTGTGTCCCAATGACCAAAACCCCCACAAAACCTTATAAGTTTCTATCATGAGGCAGATTAAAAATGAAAAAAAACAACCTGTTTTGGCTTCTCCCAGGTTGTTTTGGGAGGTTTGGTTTTGCGCTCATGGATCCGTCGGGCACCCAGCGGCGTAGTTGAATATACCAGGTTCAGATATCGGTAAGCCATACCGGAACCCGGACGCCCGGATTGGACCGTCAAGCCACCCGAACACCTGCGCGTGGGTTGTGCCCAACTTCCCATGGGCCATGACCGCGCGGTTGTGGTCCTAGCAGCCTTTGGCAGTCAGATTTAAAATGCTCGTTACCCCTCGGGATCCAGCGCTGCGGGCAGAATGTCTAAGATCAAGAAGACGGGAGATAACAGATGCTGCATTTATGGTGCTGGCAGTGGTCGGAGATTGGCAAAGTTAACCATTGACTTACCTCTGTGTCGCAGTTCCATCAATTCACCTCAGTGCCTCGTCCATCGTATCTCATGCAAAGCCATCTTTGCTTTTCCTTCATGAGAGGTCTATCACATTTTTCCAACTTCAATGACGAGCAGACTGTCTGAATGGATGGGGGGCGGTTATTGTGGTTGAGGAAGGAAGTACCTATTCGCGAGCTCCGAGGGGTTGTCTTCGTTGGCACTTGCTGTAACTTATCGCCGACGAATCACCCCTGAAATGGCACATTATGCCGTGAGCCTTGCAGCAGCGTTGTGGCTGATTGTCTATGTATTGGATGGTGACCAACACATCCTTATGGTGCAGATAGTTGCACCTGCTCATTTGACATGTAGATGAAGCCATACTCTAGGTAGACATCTCACTTCAAGTTGCATACCACACGTCACTGAGCTTGCAGGCTACTTATTTATATCGAGTGCATTCCATCTGTGAGGTGGAATGCAACTTGAGGTGTCGTGATATGACTAGAGCGAAACGAAGGACGAAGCAGAGCCAGCCAGCTTACCAGATATGTAGCTTCAGAAAGCTAACCATTAACCATTGGAGGCTATGGATTTGTCTCTTTTCTGCATACTGAGGTGTAGTGGTGTGGTCTACGTGTTCAATGAGAAGGTGCCATTGCATGTGCAACACCTTCGAACAGTATTATGCTACTTATAATCACTTCTTTTGTTCATCGGACTGGCCGATCGTTAGCTATTTCCTCTTTGCTATTACTTACCTGCAACAGGCTCAATAATCTCCACAAGATTTTGACCTTTACAATTTGTCCACCCACATAATTATGAAAAAGTACTTGTTCTTATCCTCATTTTAAAACTGCTGCTCGCCTACACAAATTCAACGAAACTGCTTATTATCATTGTAAAATTGCTGTTCGCCTCCTGATCAACCTTTCTCTGCTAGATATCCGGAAGAGAAAAAAACTAAACACAGTTTCCAGAGCAGCAACTATTCCTTATCATTTCTACTTATTGGAATATGGCACATCCCCAGCCTCTGCCATTAGGAGAAAGCAACTCCTCGCCGGTGTATCCTGATGCGTGGGTTGAGCTGACCCCGGGTCCATTGTCCTACGAAAGTTCGGCGCCGGTGACGATCCCTACCACGGAGGACATATCAAGTTTTGATCTGAAGTCATACGGCAGTTATGGTGAGTTGCACGAGGAAAGAGGCTTTCATTTATGTTACTAAAATTCTCGCGTCGAGGAGGATCCACAGGCCCAGACGAAATCCTTCTCCCACATCTGGATGGTGCAAACCGGCCCATGTCAAACCTCTATTCCATTCCCATGGCTTTACCACAGGACCCATCCTACAAAACGCTCGAGGGTACCACCTTCAAGAGTCAAGATGCTAGTGGACCCTACCAACAAGTTCGTTCACTTTTCAGTCCTTTCAATACGATTGTTCGACTAATTTACTAATTTCAGCTTTGCAACTGAAAACAGTGCGCCGAAGCATACCCAAACTTCGGCTTTTCGAGCTCCGGTGGCTACGAGTCTTCCTTATCTCCCTCATCGTCACGCCCTTGCACAGCAGGTTATGAGGTAGATGGGATGGGTTTTTCATCATCTTTACCGGAGCCCCCGCTTTCTCTACCATACGGTTACGGGTTTCTACCCACCGATGGATTTTCTTTCTACTCCCCCCTTGAACATATTGCACTCGACCCAAATCTATCACCAAAATCGGCTGCCGGAAATAATCATAACAGCTTTCCTCTACAAAGTATGCCACCATACCTTATTCAACATTCTGATGTGCTACTCGGGCCACACGAAGAGATGGCCCCCCTAGTCGAGCTACCAGTAGACCTCCAATTTCCAACGGGTTCAGCTGCCGCACATTACGCTATCCCCATTGATATACCAGAAAAATACGCATGGTCTTCTGCTTTATCAAATCCACCGCGACCCCGAACAGATGGGCATTTTGCACATCACGAGGTGTTTACGACAAGGTGTGTCCAGCCCACAAGCTTGATGGGTCAGCCTGCTAGGGGTGCAAAATCAAAACACTCGGACATTGAAACCAACTATGGCGCCCATGGAAAAGCCTCGTTTGTATCTGGAAACTGGGAAAACCAAGATGTCTTTTGCAATGAGAACAGTGGATATTCTCCTCCACCACCACCTAAGAAAGCCGCAGTGGGGAAGAAACGTCCAAAACGCCGAAACTCCGCAATTGAGCGTCTGACTAATTCCGATTCACCCGGCACCAAGACCAATAACTCGGCTCTATCGTGCTCTCGGGGATCGGATAACATAGGGAGATCTCAAAACCCTGCAAAACAATCATCAGCCGCCGCGGAGAACAAGACGCCCGACGGCAAATATGTTTGCAGTCGCATCTGTAAAGACACGCAAGTAGTGTGCGGAAGGAAATTCCAGCGATCGGAGCATCTCAAAAGACATTGGGCCACTCATGAAGATATCAGGCCTCACCAATGTCAAATCTGCGAAAGATTTTTCGGGAGAACCGAGTAAGTCGATTGAAGGTCACCATTACATACCTTTCAATTTTGACAAATTCAAAGGCTTACGTGAAACTTTCTGCAATTCCAGCAATTTGACTCAGCATATCAAAACGCACGCCAACGCTCACGGAAGAAATACGAAGCTCCTCAAAGCCAAGTTGCTTCAAAGCGCCGAGAAAACTAAAGGCATGCAAAAAATAGAGCGCAAGCCAACTGCTTACTTATGCAGAGCATCCAGGCGAAAAAAGGGACTGTAGCTCCCTCGAACTTACCTAAGGTATCCCAGCTCTCGAAGTTTCACCATGTATTCATTATAATATCCTATCTATTCTTTCACATGTGATCTATCTCATACATTTCCTCTGCAATACTCCAACTCCTTAATACTTTGATCATTGACCTATTGCTCCGAGATCTTCCTCACACTTTCGCTTGTATGCATCAACACACATGTACCTGATTATGTATCCGTTAGGAACGGCAGAGCATTGTGGCTATCCACCCGCCTCTTGAATATTTCATCACAAGTAATTATATCCTAAAAAACGTCTTGGGGTCAGAAATTGGAAGATAAATGAATGAGTAGCATGATTTTGAATTGTACGAAAACAATTTCTTGAGTCTCAACCGGGGGTTTTTATGTATTTTCTTTAAAAGACTCCTATTCCTCAATCCTAGTATTCTAATTACCGTTGGGCATGGAGCGGAAGGTTCTATGATTTGACCAAGACATCAAATCAATTCTTGTTGTACGTATAATTATCAGTCTTAATCAGAATAGTTGCTCCGTCTCAGCCAACGTTGAACACACTTTTTTGTTGTTCAGGACATTTTTAGCATATAAGCTCAACCGCTTACAACTTATCAAGTATTAGAGAAGAGTGAAGAAAGGTCAGAAGACCCCAACTAGCAAGTTGTATCACTAATCACTTGAAACAGGTCATTTTTTCCTTATTTTCCTTGAAAATGAAGGATATCAATGAAGAGAAAGAAGAGAAATGCTTGAAAAATCTAAGGTAGTGAGATCACATGAATGAGTATACTAATACTATCACCTACAAATTTCAATTCAGTCCGACTTGGAGGTGTCATCTAGTGATCATCTACATTATTTTAGCTGGCTTCCCATCTCCCGCCTTACAGATTCTATACATTTGTGAACACCATGGATACATCAATTATGAGATCAAGTTACGCTTGAATGGAACCGTTGACATTTTTGGCACAAGAAGTAAAGGAGTGAAATTTAAAACAAGACAACAAAGCATTGATCGGACAAAAACTATAAATATATAAGTTAAGGTAATGCTGAGAGCGCAAAGTTCACAAAAACCGGTCGAATTCTCGGGAGCCACCGGAGCCAGCGATTATGCCAGGAATATTGCCGAAACCGAAGCCAATATCTTTGAAGAAGCCGGGAGTCGAGGCGAAGATGCGTGCAATCAGCCGGATGATGTTTCCTAATTGCCCCGATGAAGCAATAATCAAGTTGGCCACGGCGCCCGAAATTTGGTTGAGAGTATCTACAAATTTCCCACAAAAAGATCGGTCGGCCAAGTGTTTCGGACAAGGAGCTTATGATAAAAACAGACGGGTAAAAATACTTACCACCACAAATATTGTGAATGATTGGAAACTTTGCAGCCAATTCATTCACTTGTTGGAAGCAAAGCCTAATCTCCGTCAAAATGTCGGCGATCACTCGGCAGATGTCGATCTGTGAAAAGGCCTCTGTTAAAAAAAATGTGTTTTCGAATTCCCACCTAGTGGGATTAAATTCTTCAAGTCAAGACTCACCAATGTGGCATGCTCGAAGAAACCAGGCTTGGAACTGGGAAGAGGGAAGTCTCCTCTCTTTATTCGGGCGAGACATTCGTTACAGAGATCCAAGATCGCCTTGAGCTCCTTGAGCAAGGCCCAGGCCAGTTGCTCGCCGTTTTGAGATTCTGATACATTGGAAGCAATATCCTTCATATTCTTCGTGTGCTTCTGAATCCCAGCCAGACAATCCATCAAGGCTGCATAAATCCTATCTTGCTTGTACCAATCGGCCCTCCGCGTATGCTTGTGAGAGGAGCGACTTTCTAGCTTGTTGTGACTGGGAAGGTCGCGCGTTTTACTAACTCGAGTAGGGCCATTTTTCTGGGTGGAAGAGGGTCTCCAGAGTCTCTTCTTAGAGAATGGGCCATGCATGGCACTGTGGGACCTTTATCCCAAGAGTAAAGATCATAACGAGATGGAAAATCAGTCTGATAATTTGGTCGAGGAGAGTGAAGTGAAATTCGTTCAGGCGGGTACGAACATATGCAGCATGTCTGTTGAAAATGAATGCCCAGATAGCGCAAAGTCGGAGTTCTTCGAGGTTTTCGTTAGAATCGTGATTGCTAAAATAGATTGCCATTTCATCAAGATTCAAGAAATCAACTGAGAACCCATGGCATATGAAGAACTTACGTTGGGAAGTAGCAAGAATAAGGATAAAGAGTGAAAACCACATTTTTGCCTCTACTTTTCACTTTTTTTATTCCGGTGATTAGTACTGTAACAGACCGGAAAGACAGATTTTTTTTCCCGATGTTTAGATAATGAGAGACAAGTCAGGTGCAGATAATCAACCTGTTGAGCGATGCGCTTGTTAATGTGAGGTATGAACGAAATTGTGCTCTCGTGGCTGGGCTTATTGAAGTATAGATAGTCGAGAGATAGAGATAGCAAGGGAAAGACTCCCAAAGAGTTAGCTAGCAGGCAAGTAAATGCATCTGCACCTGGTAGGTACATAGATTTGAAAGGAATGATCACAAAGTGACCATGCTAGCCGTGGATTGCCTGCCAACGTCCCCTTACCTATACAATTACTACTTATGTGGACAGTCTGTCGAAAGACATGTCGCACCGACAGCGCTGGAGAAGTACTCATGGCCCAGGGATGAACGCAATTGTAGGTCCGACAATCCCGCTGGATGAACATAACCCAAGGTGCACTCTGTTTTTACAAGGTTTAACGGAAAGCTAACCTACGCTAATTACATCCATCGACCCTTTGCCTTCTTCTACTTGCTGGAAAGTTTATTTTTCTCTTCATTATGAACCGCTGAATGGTTCTGACCTGTGCCTTTCTCCACGTCTTTCCTCTTTATGCTGGTTCGCAAAGCTGCACGCTTGCCGAGTTTTCTTTGGGCATGGGGCGATGCGATTGGGCTGGCAAATTCGGCATTCTTTCTTTCTCATTGACTGCAGTTTTCATTACACTTATTCTTCTGGGAGGTCACTTGTGAACGCACTATGAAGGGTGCTCTTTGCGTTGAGGGGTTCAATTGAGAGAGATTGAGAGAGGTCTTCTTATTTTGGGAACATGCATACTGCGGCTGCGCAAACCACAGCCGGGGCCCTTTTTTTTGAACTGGGGGACCTTTGTCAATGTGGGTGCACAGCACTGTGTTGTCCACCACACATTATCGCCCATCAGCCCACTACCAGAACTGAGGAATCATCTCCGATCCATATATATCCGTTCGGAATGGCGCCATCTCGACAAGAGATCACTAGTTCGTATCCAGATACTTCATCAAGCTTGCCAAAAGATGCATCCTGCAGTTAATTCAAGAAATTCAAATCAGCAAAATGAGACACTGACGATCTTCTTTCACTCCCAGAATTCGCCGACTGGTGCCGACGGGAGGGCCTCACATCCACGCTTCATGTACTACGCAATGAGCTTGGAACCAAGGGACTACGTACGTCCAGCGACTTTGTTGAATGTGCAACCCACTCCAAGACTGATCTGATGATCAACTTGATCTTTTCCCAGGGATTGATTTGTCGGATTCATCTTCATCCTCTGACTCTCAATCTACATCTTCGAGTGACCAATCCACTTCGACGCATGATGCGGGGTCTTCTTCTTCGGCTCCAAAACCCCAACGTGTGACCAAGTCTTCGGATCCATTGCCGGTCTCTGACTCCGATTCTTCATCCGATTCTGAATCTGGCGACTCCGAATCTAGTGACTCTGCATCCGGCTCTGAATCTAGTGGCTCTGAATCTGAATCTGACTCCACCCAGAGCTCCGCCGCACTGGCCAAGTCAAAGTCAAACCCTGGAATTGTACTCAAGTCTGAGCAAATTGCTGGCTCGGAGTCTAGCTCTGAATCTGGCTCTGGGTCTGACTCTGAATCTGCCTCAGGGGCGCGCCCTAAATCCGGCCCAAAAGTTGCCTTTAAATCTGTCTTGGGATCTAGCTCTGAAACCAGTTCGGATTCTGATGCTGAATCTGGGTCTGAAGAATCTGAATCTGAATCTGAAGAATCGGAGGCGCACGATAGCTCTGGATCTGACACAGAATCCAGCTCAACTTCTAACTTGAAGCTGTGTACTCAATCTAACCCAGTAACTAAAAAGAATGGAGAGGCATCGAGTCAGTCTGCACGGTCTGAAGTTCAATCATCAGGCAAGTCTGATGGATCGGACAGCAGCTCTGAATCGGGATCGAACTCCGGATCTGGATCTGACTCTGATTCCGAATCCGATTCTGGACTCAGTTCCGACATTGCCCTCACTTCTTCCAAGCAAAAATCCAGTTCATGTTCTTCTGATCCGTCGAGTCAAACTATGCAAGGCAAGACGGACGTTTCATCAGGTTCAACCCATGATTCTGAGGCCTCGTCAGAGTCGGACTCTAGCAAATCGTCGTCCTCTTCATCTGATTCAAAATCTGATTCTAGTGCCGCTTCGGGGTCTGATTCTGATTCTGATTCTGATTCTAGCGGCGACGACGCTACTTCAAAAAAACCTCAACCTCAATCTCACACAGACTCGAAACCTGCACCAAATTCATCATCATCGACCAACAAGCGAAAAGCTCAATCACCAGAGAAGAGTGCAGACAGCAAGCGAATCAAAGCTCTTGATTCTTTGGCCCAGCCGGATTCAAACCCTACTCCGGTGTCCAACTCAACCCAAGAACCTCTGAATGATGTGAAACATAAGAAGACTAATGCACCATTCCGCAGAATAAAGGCCGAAGAAATTCAAGTCGATCGCCGTGTATCAGATAATAGCTTTTTAGCTAAGGTAAGATCATATTTTCCCTTTCAAGTTCCAAGTAAATTGGTTTCTTGATGGCTCATCTAGTGGTTCCATTCTGTAATTACATCAGGGTGGTGCTCAAGGCTCTTACGGCTACAAAGCTCATCAAGATCTGATCGTAACTCGTGGCAAAGCCTTTACTGTTTGAGTCAATTTTCGATTTATTTTCTTTTCTTTTTTTCTCTTGATTGACTTTGGGAAACAAACACTCATCCTTTGTTATTCGTCTCAAACCGAAATGTTTGACTCTTGTAGAAGGAGAAAAATAAAAAGAAAAGAGGGAGTTACAGGGGTGGTATCATCGACACAGCTAGTCACTCTATCAAGTTTACTTGAGCATTGCATTAATTTTTACTTCAATTAATCTTGGCTCGGATGCCCCCATCAAGTTTTTTCGACAAATAAGTCCATCAAGCTTGTGTGATAATTGCATCAAGCTTCGTCAATCATTCGTCTCCGTACCTGCCCTTGGAGCCTCAGCTCTCGCTGCTTTGCGATTTTTTTTTTCGCATGATGCTCTTACTCTGCTCATTATCTATCCTGGGATTTTTGAGGAAAAATTTTCATTCATCAACACTTGCTTGTGTTATTGATTTCCAAACAATATTTGCGCGTTGGAAAACAAACAAACGAGTAATTGTCACGTCTTGCATCACGGCATCTAATGAGGCTGCCGAGGCCGGGCTGGTCCAGGCTCTGAATGAACCTACTGCAGGGCCACGCACAAGCCTGCTTCAACATCATGAAATGATGCACGGTCGGCGTCATACCCGTCCTAATGCTGATTATGAATATGTGGAGAATCAGCCCGGCGCCCTGCAGCTTGCAGGCCCTGGGCTTGGCACAATGACACTCTTGCTGGGAGGGCCGCCGATATGGGGTCATTGCGGCCGACGATAGGTCGGTCATGCACGAAGCGGGAGTGTCACGGCATAAGGATGCAAAATTCTGGATGCGCAGAACCCGGATGGCGATATGGCTCAAGGCAGGTGTGCTGTTTACTTCAAACAGGGATGTGATGATTCCCAATGAGCAATCAGTTGATCAACGACGAAACTCATCCATCATACATGCTGAGTACTCTGTGTCCTTGACCTTCGTTTAATGAACAGTCTACCAAAAATGTAGATATATGTATTGCTATTGGGTGGAAAGACGGCGAGACAGCTCCTAGCAGCTCGTATAGGCTCATCCCTGCCGCGTGTCGGTCTGTGTCGGCCACATCACACATGTCAGTCAACACGCCTCCCATGGTGGGTTGTCAGATGGCTGCTCCCCGGCGGGTGTTAGACAAGTGTCGGGCACAAGTCAGCCTCACTATCAACTGACGGCGGGCTGCCCGCTGCTGCCCGACTGGGCAGCTCGGCAACACAATCTCGCCTGTTTTACGGCAGGTTGGCGTGTATAAGGGCAAATGTCGAGTACCTCCCGCAAGGCATAATGTTGGGTATCTTCGTTACCCAAGTCGTTGCACACCCTACAAGTCCACAGCTTTCGCAATTGTACATATCCTTGGCACAACTGGCATGACAGTCACATACCGGAGTGAGGTAGTGCTTGGTCAAGCATTTCTCAAGTTCAACGTACCTGAAAAATTTAGGACTCTATGTGGCCCAGCTCAACTTCTGCAGTCGACATTTAGTGTCTCCTTCCCCTGCTTGGTCCAGCCTGCAATCTCCCAGTCCTTGAACTGCGCCCTTGAAGTTCAATCTTCATATGTAGCAGTTACTCTGCCAATAGGTACCAATACTGGACCTGTTTCAACGCGAACCAGCTTCCGCATTCCAGTCGCGCACGCGTAAAGGAATCAACAAAACAAAACCAACAGGTGCCTGATTATAAAGAAAAATCGCTACCAAAATAGATTATTTATAGAGACGTTTTCTTCCCTCTTTACTTTTTTCTATCCCCTCATTCCACCACGACTCGAGCAAAGTGATCTAAGCTTCCCTCCTCCGGTTCATCCTCACAGTAACTGCCCTCTCTTTCTTGAACTTTCTTGTTTATCGTCTCACACAGGCATCACTAGTTACCTTCCTTCATTCCACCGGCCACATCATAAAAGGGAAAGAAGTTCTTAATACCTCTTGCTACTGCAACCGGCATTCAGTCTACCGCTTTAAATTATCCTTCCTTGCCTTCACATAAACCCATCCACTTCAGTACAAGCATTTAACAGCCCGCAGTCATCTACCCAACTCATCCGCTCTTTGGAAATATATCCCTTTTTCGCCCGAAAAATCAAACCAAAAAATAAAAACAAAAATCTACCGCAGATCATCACCAAGAATGGATGTCACCAACATGATTTTCAACAAGGCCACCTCCCTGTTCCCTACTCCAGTAAAACCCACTGCAGCGATTTCGACTTATCCACCTCTTGTGCGCCGACATCCGGCTTCACTCATTGCCAAATCACTTCACCATCCAGGGCTTCTCGCGTTGGTAAGGCAAAGAGTCAGCCGGGAAATGATCTGTGAGTTCCATTGTCTCCAGGCTTTCTGGAGCTCATTGCTTGAAGCTCGTACTAAATCATTTCCTCTATCAGCTCACATTGCGCAGGTAGCGATCAGCGTTATTCAATGTCAGTCGGACTCACCCGAGTCACTGCTCTCGCCGCCAGCGACTCCTATCAGACTGGAACACGTCGGTCGTGATCAGACTCCTTCGAGAACTCCGAGCCCTTACTCCCGAGACCCCCGAAAGGAAGCTGAGAGCTCTCTGCCTTCATTGGAGGCTTTCATTCAAATCGTCGTTGAGAAATCTAATGTGCAAGTTCCGACCTTGCTTTGTACAATCATCTACTTGGAACGGCTTCGTACCAAGCTCCCTAAGATTGCGAAAGGCCTCAACTGCACGCGTCATCGAGTGTTTCTAGCTGCATTGATCGTGGCGGCAAAATACCTAAACGATTCATGCCCTAAAAATAAGCATTGGTGCTCTCATGCTTCAATCTTCGCGGACGTAGAAGTCAATTTGATGGTAAGTTTTCCTCTCTTGATATCTTACATCTACCGTCTTCTGGGAAAAACTAACATCCAAATCTTTCGAAACTTACAGGAGAGACAATTGCTATTTCTACTTGATTTTGACTTGAGGATGGATGAAGAGACTTTATTGAAGGCATTTGCGCCTTTCTTACCCGATGCCTCGCCTCGCGCCATCCCTGCGCATCTCAGTCAGAAAGTCCTACCCCCCACCCCCTACCGGGCTCCATCTAACCAGAGCTTTGCAAACACTCCGCCATCGATCTCCCATACGACCCCGCGCAACAACCTCACAAAGTACCGTGATTCCCATCATGGCGCTCCACTCACACCCTCGCCTTCGCCGATTCGAAGACTCATGGCTTACGGGAATGGGCTCGCCGATAAAACGATCCAGCGAATTGGAGGCGCTCAACGAGGCCCCAAGGCTTCCCCGGCTTCCTCGGCCACGTCGTCGAATCCTTCCACTGTTGACAACAGCTCTCCCGAAGAAGAGCTCCTATTTCAACTCTCCCTCTCTGGTCACAAACCATTCCGTGCTTTACAAGCTCCTCACAAGATACAACTGGAGCGCTCCCCCTTCTCCAGCCACCATCCGGTAACTCGGAGAAATGTATCTCACAGTCATTAGTGATCCCTTCTCCTCGGAATCCCTTCTTCCGTAATCTGGTTTTTTCTTTATTGAGTGATTAGTTTGTCTTCGTATTCACATCGAGAATTGAATGTATATGTAAAGTCTTAGTTGGCTATAAGCCATTTTTTCATACCCTACCCCCCCAAAAAAAAATTGTAATGTTTCTCTTAACGGTCTGTCATCCGGCTCTATCTTATTATTTGGGTGCCACGTGGCGCGTACCACTATTAGTTTTCATTATATTCTAGTTACAGTCGAGGCTCACAGTAGCTCTCTTAATAGTAAAATTTGTCATCGTTTCTTGTCAGTTAATTTAATCATTTACGCAAACTTACCTTCATGGACAACCAAAATTGAGATGACTATTTGTCATTTTGATATGACAACAACTATAGCACTCAGCCATAGACTTATCATCCTTGTCTACATCTTGAGCTGAAAAATACATGTCTCTTGTAGAAGCTTTGCAGACAACTTAGCAACAGAATGGATTTTTATAATGGTGCTGGTGGTAGTACAAGTGATAAAAACACCCCAACATCTGATTCTACTTGCAGACCATCAGAAAAAGAAGTCTGCAATTGACCCACAAAAATTAGATGTTCAAAAACCAAGTATGTATGTAGTGATTTTACTGTAATTCAAACTCTTTCAGGAATCAATTGTGGTTTGGATAGCCAAATGCTTCTGCACCACAAATACTATCCCTATCATCCATTTTTTCTCGTTGGTATCTTTTTCTATCATATATATTTACATGCAATCACCCCCTCCTCTTTATATCCCTTTTTGTGTTATCAGTTTTACCTTTTGCTGCAGTGCAAGTGATGCAATTGATCATCTTTTTTTCTTTCTGATAGATCTTTTTCATGACATGTGCTCAATGATCCCCTGGCCAGCTATTTCTCAATTGGATCTTTATCTTGTGTGAGATACATTTTGATCTCTTCCAAGTTGTCACTTGGTGCAATCTCTTTCATGAGTCATGTGGCCCTATTTGACTTCAATCTGTGAAGGGCCTGCTTGTTCTACACATCTGTTCCTGATCTGTTAGTGTTACCAAGATTTCCTATGATAATTGTTGGAATTTTGATATCTTTTTTACTCAGTTCAAAAATCACATTCATTTTATTTCATCACTCATGTTTACTGTCATAATTTTAGCCTGTTTTCATCTAAATATATGCATGTCTAATCCTTGTAAGTTGTAGTACTAGTTAATGAGCCCTGGTTAGTATGACTTGCAGCTATTTTAGTGACACTTTTCTTCTTGAGTTTGTCAACTTTGTGGTACTGTTATTATATTGAATATTCAAATAATTAAACCACATCTTGATCATCTTGTACCTAGTCTACTTGAACCTAGCCAGTTAAAAAAACTCAAGCTTCATTGGTTCTTGCTTGTGTTGAGCTGTGCCTACTCTGAGCCCCTCCATGAGTTGCTCACTAAGACTGCTCAAATCCCTCTCTCATCTCTATCTTGTCCACAGCTATTATTTCTTTGGTGGTGTCAGTAGCGTCCAAGCGGATGTCGCCGAAGTCCAAGAACACGAGCGTTTGGGGTTCCTGCCCTGAGCTGAGTGACTGGGCCTGAATCCCGCCCTGCTCCCCCAGGAGCACTGACCCTGGGGCAGTTTGGGAAGGTGGTGATATAGGGACACCATCTATGCCCCACTCAGCTCCTCCCCTCTCATCGCTTGAACCATCATCTACACTCCTCTCTTCTCTGGACGCGCTGAAACCCATTTTTTAGCTTTTCTACCTACAGATCAACAGGAAGACGGAGATATGGTCAAAGACATGGTATCTAAAGCAACCAGAAGAATGAAGAAAATTCAACCAGAACCACCAAACAACAACACATCCCAACCGCCTAACAAGAACACATCCCAAGGAGGTTCGACCGGCGGAGCAGACTCGGCAAGCGCGAACAACGGCCAAAGCGCTTTGGAAGAACTGAGCGTTACACAAACAGAACACTTAAGTAGTTAGTGTTCTATGTTGCCGTATTCGTAAAACAAGCAACAATGTAGACGTTAGCTGATTGTTGTTTGTACGTCCAATATCCAAGTTGCGGAAGGATCGAAAGATAAAGGTCCTACCTCTGCGAGCAGTAGCACTGAAGACGCCATAAACGATGCAGCGTCGAAAGATAATGAAGTAGTCGAAGTACAATTGACTAAAGGTAAGCATGGAAAATTTGAAAATTTAGGCACAGTTGATAGCCTCAAATCATAAAGAGAATTAATCTCATACATGCTATTGGTTAGATAAACAATCAGATACAGTAACCGCGTACCGTAATTTGTTATCAAGACGAGAATCGGATGGGCCTTTGCTAGTAGTGAATAAAGCCCCCGACCTGCACACACCGCGATCGGTTTTGCAATCCCTAACAGACAGAGAAAAACTGTGGGAGAAGATCGTTGAATCAAAATTAGCAAACGACGAAGCGAATGCAGACTTCCTGCTCAGAATCTATCTCTCGCTCCCAAAAGAAGAAATCACCAAGACTCTACGCGTCCCAGTGGAGTTATCAGAACTGCGCTCCACATCGGCAGACGTGGCAATCCCTACTCAAAGAGCTAATTCAGTAGATAAGACTGTTCAATTCATAAAAGGCTCAGTTCCCAACCATTGCGATATAGGCTTCACTCCTTTCTTTGACAAGAACATCCGAGAGTTCAAAGGGCCACTACCCTTGACTATCTTTGATAGGGAGTGGCAAGAAGATGCGGTCAATTTTCACTCCGGCAAGAAATCTAAGTCGGATGAGAAAGACGGGGTATACACGGGGTACGAATACCCAAACGAGTGGTCGCAATCCTTTAGCGCTTGGTCCAACAACTTCAGGAGTTTTCTCATGACTTATCGAGACATTTACAAGATACCAGAATTTGCAGAGTGGATTGTGGCACACAAAGCAAACATTGACGAAATCATCGCCAACGAGGGGTTCCTAACCGGTTTCAGATATGACATGATCATACAAGCAAACACATTTGCGTACAGAGTCGAAACGTCCAATGGAGCTTCAGTCGTCGACATTTCCGTGATGCGCAAAGATGTACAAGAGAAAGCGTGGGCAGTGACGAGAAAGTTAGACGAACTTGATTTCAAAGATAACCCATATGCGCAAGGAGGAATTAAAGCAGGTTTTGATCCGAAGACTGGCAGACCTAAGATTGGCAAGAATCACAAATCTTTCACCGATGCGAGCCCGTACTCGTCGGGGCCGAACTCTAGCGGATACGGTAACTCGTCAAGAGGCAGAGGAGGTTTCAGGAAGAAGAGTTTTGGGCGAGGGGGCTATGGTTACGAAAATGGTCCGGACGACCGACGAGACGAAGATTTTCGAGGATGGGGTGATAGGAGGTTTAACAATCAACATAGATTTGGGGGTCAAGATAATTACACCCAAAACCGATTCTCGCATAATCAAGGCTACTCAGGGAATCAAGCGTATAATAAGGATGAAGGTTATAAATCTCATCCAGCTCCAGCGCCAAACACTTTCAGAAACAACCACCAAAATAAAGACCTAGCTATGAAAGGAAGCGGGAAAAGAGAGCAAAAGGATGGGAAAGACTTGTAGGTTGAATTATTCCCTGATCGGTTGCCTGTGACCTCTGTTTGTATTTGAGACTGGTTAACAAGACGAAAATGTTAAATGCATATTTTGTTAGAATGATTTAAAAAAAAAAAAAATTCTGATTCCGATGTTTCCTTTTGTTTTGTGATTTGATGTTATAAGAAATGATGAGAATGTTAGACGAAACGTGACGTCTCCCTTGACGTCTCCCTTAAGTGTTGTGCCAGACAGTATTTCTTGTGAGATGAACGTAAGAGAATGGGAAAAGGCCTTATTAGTTAACAATTTGCTCCCAGAATTTCAAGATGTCATAGACGGCTTTACCAACGGGTTTGACCAGGGTATTCCGGCTCATACACTAGGTGAGATGAAATGGTATACACCTGAAAATCATCGATCTTCAGAGCTTGCTAGGGAAGACATCAAGAAATCAATTTCAAAAGAAATCAACGCAAAACGGATGTTCGGGCCATTCTCTCATCAACAAATGAGTGAACAATTCGGTTTCTTTCGTTCGAATCCTCTAGGAGCAGTCGTGAATGGTGATGGAGCGATTAGGCCAATAAATGACCTGTCATATCCTAGGAATGACGACACGATTAGATCAGTCAATTCCTTCGTCAATAAGCATGATTTTGAAACGACTTGGGACGATTTCAAGACAGTGTCAAAGTTTTTTGCAGAAGATCAACGGAAATTCGAGCTGGCGTTGTTTGATTGGGAGAAAGCATACAGACAGATTCCTACGAAGCGTGATCAGTGGAGATACCTGTTGGTGCAAGATTTCGACGGCAACCTACTAGTGGATACTAGAATAACATTTGGTGGAGTTGCTGGTTGCGGTTCGTTCGGAAGACCGGCGGACGCGTGGAAGTTGATCATGAAGAACCATTTCGAATTGGCGAACATCTTTCGTTGGGTAGACGATAATCTCTTTGTGAGAGAACTAGGCTCCGAGACGTCAATGGGAGAAGTTGTGAAGAAGTCAACTGAACTAGGCGTGTTGACAAACGCTAAGAAGTACTCAGAGTTCAGTCATTCTCAGAAATTTATTGGCTTTGTATGGGACGGCATTAGGAAAACAGTAAAACTGCCAGAAGGCAAGATTGAACAACACTTGAATCAAATCTACCCTTTCCAAATACCGAAGGCTGTGTTCGACTACGAAGAGGCCGAGGTACTCGTCGGAAGACTCAACCATGTATCCTACATACTCCCACACCTGAGATGCAATCTATGTTCATTGTACAAGTGGTTAGAGTCGTGGATCTGGAGGAAAGCGAAACGCGCAACACCGGAAGACGTGTTGGTGGACTTGAACGTCTGGGTAGAGACGCTACAGACTTTTGAACACACCAGGCTAATCAGATGGGGCCCCCCTTTGGACGTAGGTTGGGTAGGAGATGCTTCGACCTCGTTTGGGATAGGAATATTGGTGGGGAGACATTGGGCTCAGTTCAAATTAATAGACCCTCTCCAGAAGAAGAAAATATCGTTGCTAGAGACGGTTGCCATTCGGCTTGGTCTACTTATGCTACTGAAGCTCAGGAGCCAAAAGGGAAAATCTTTGATCGTGTTGACCGATAATACAACAACGGAAAACAGTATTAACAACAAGAAAACTAGGGACGTTGAGACGAATAGGGAATGGATGGAAATACAGGAGATACTGTTGAGAGAATCAGTGGATTTAGTAGCTAGAAGGGTCCGTTCGAAAGACAACAAAGCGGATGCCCTGTCTAGAGGAATTCGCTCTGGCCAACCGGTCAAATTCCAGGTGGTAATACAGTTACCTTCAGACATTGAAGAATTTCTCCATCAAGTTATATTTAAGATCTGACTTTGTCTAGTTCATTTATTTATTTATTTTCTTTTTCACTGTCGTCTAAGATTTCTCTTTATTGAATTTTAACCATGCAACTAGCAAGCGGCCTGTATTCAGCTATTAGAGATTTTACTTCACGCGGGTCTACGCTTCAAGTGCCAACCGCACTTGACACGCACGTTCTTCATGGATGGTCTGACTCAACACTGCGCAGCTACAATTCAGCGGTGCGCAAATTCCTCCAATTCAAAAGGGAATCAGGTCATCGAACATTTACACTTCCAGCATCAGAGGTCAACATCTACGAATTTTGCTTCTGGGCCGGAAAGAAAGGCGGACGAGAAACAGGGAAAGAAGTCCTGACAGTGACGCTGAAGAAGTACCTCCAGGGACTCAAAGCTTGGCACACCTTTCACGACTCCCCCTACCCTAACGTTGCAGAAAAGAAAGTCAATCTCATTCTCAAATCATCGGCGAAGCTTGAGGCCACAGCATCACAAAGGGAGCAGAAGAAAGCGGTGATGATTGAACATCTGATCATTCTGGCGAACGAGCTGTCCAATGGGTGCCACGAGGACTTAACAATCCTGGATATGGCGCTGGTAGCCTTCTGGGGCCTAGCAAGACTAGGCAAACTTACGACAGATGACGGGAGCTGCGAATCAGGCGTATGCGCACACGACGTGGTAATCTCTACAGACATGGCATCGGCAACAGTCGAGTTGAAAAGGTCTAAGACGGCGGCACCCGGCGAATCCCAATTTCTCAAGCTGCAGCAGCTACCAAACATTCTCTGCCCGGTGAAGGTGCTGTTGCGGCGCCTTGCTAGGCCAGGTCCACCCAACAGGCGTTTGTTTGGGTGCACCGTGGAGAACAGCTTCCTACCTCTGTCAAGGTACAGGGTTAAAAAACGGCTATCGGACGTTTGGGAAAGAAACGGCTACCGCGGGCTTTCAGGTCACTCTTTCCGAGTGGGGGGGGCCTCATTCCTGAATGCTCTGGGTGTCACTGTAGAGCAGATTTGTCTGATAGGCAGGTGGAATTTGTCCTGCTACAAGGTTTATATACGTGTTTAATTGTCGGACGAATTGGATCATTCTCTTAAACTCCTGGCAAAGTTAGATTTGCAGTGGCGATTGACAGAAGCTTAAAAAAAAAAAAAAAAAAGAAGTTCTCGTTGTAGTAAATGTCGTGGTAGTAAAACAAACGCCTGGCAGCACAATAGTTGATTCTAGATGATGTGAGGCCGTCGAAGCAGAACACAGAGTAAAGTTTGGGGGTTCGCGCAAGGCTCAGGCTTTGACCCTGAGTTCTAGGGTTCAGCGCGTTCCCCCTCTCTTTTCCTCTCTGTTTCAGGAAGAGGACTTTCTTCCACCACAGAGCCCGCTGAGGGCCCTTTGCTGGCAGGCCTGAAAGGCCCAAGAAGAAGCCCTCTCCCAAGACCCTCACGTGCCCTTCTTGAAAACCCTTGTTAGAACAAGGGGCCCAAGAAGGGCTACAGGTTTAGGTTAGGCTTTCTAACCGACGCCTGGAAAACGTACAGAGACGGACATAGAGTAGATGGATTGGATCAATAATCCAATGGGCAGGACCACTGCCACAATGCATGCTGGAATCAAGGCAACATACAAGACAAAAAAGGAGGGTTTCTTTTTGTTGAATAGACTCAGTGGTAGGTAGCTTATGGGGACTGAAGGGGGCACAGGTTTGAGAAATATTTGAGCTAATGGAGAATCCCAATTACTATGGTCTAGACTAAGAGGTTAACACATACTTAGGAGGAGATGAATATGAAACAGATTTTGAATAGAGATGGTACTTTGGTTCCAGTTGGGCCAGAAAGTGTCTGCTACACTTCAGACCCCCCCCCTGGCCACCAGCCAATCAGTTAGAGGATGCAGCAATGAAAACGGGATCCTCCAACTGAATGACTGGTGGCTGGGTGTCAGCCTCTATGCTACTAACCTGAGTGGGTTGTGCTATGAGTGTTAACAAGAAGTGTAAAAGTGATGGTTTATTCGTGGTAAAAATCCCTCAACCTGTAGAAGAAACAGGGAGGAGTCAGTGAGGAATGTTACTTCTACTGCTGACTCATCCAATTATTCAATTGGGCATCCAGATCAATCCTGTTACGTGGATTAATAGGCTTCCAATGTGAGGAATTCTTCTACTCACTTGGGATCAAGTCTTTTAACAACAATCCAGATGAATAAGTGTATGTACACTTAAGGACCAGAATTGTTTAACCAGGGGGATAATTCTTTATGCAATAGAGATAAGTAGAAATGCCTTGAATCTGAGCAAAGTAAATCTATTTAGGTCGCTGGGTTGTAAGGTTATTGGTGGTTTGAATCACTAATAATCACGGTACAAGTGTTGGTTTGATGCTACTAGAATTTCCTGGGGGGAAAAGGTAGGAATCTGAGCTCCTTAAATATTCTACAGGGGGCTCAGGGGAAGAGGAGAGGCCCTCAGGGCACTTGCATAATTGATTTTTGTGGCCTATTTCTCACGTAATTGAAGAGGCTACAGTTACTGTGCAGGGGCTGTGCAATTGTAGAGTTGGTTGTATGCAAGCTTGTGATCATGAGAAATGCATGTCCTTCATGCATAATTCAGTCTTGCATGTAGAATTTGGGCTCCTTTCCCGTGTAGGCTACTTTGAATTATGCAAGCTTTGAATTAGAGCACAAAAGGGTCCTGATGACGCCATCCAAGAGGGTTATGATGCAATCTGATGCCCTGATGATGTGATCAAGGATGGTTAAGCTTCAGATAAATCTATAGAGCTTATTCCTCATCCATTTCACGCTTCTACTAGCTGATCCTTACACATATGTTATTAATTTATGTATTATAAAATATGTACATAATGTATAAGAATAAATATTGTTTTAATACTTTATTCTAAAGCTATTTCTGTGAAATCCTAGTGATATCATATGTACAATGCTCAAGGGGATTTCACAGTTAATTATAGAATTATTAAATATAAATTATGAATTAAGATTAAATGTAAATACATATTTATTTATGGGCATTAATAAAAAAACATGGTTTTTCCGCGTTTACACACGGTTTCCGCTGCGCGCAGCACACACGGATTCCGCGTTTACACACGGTTTTTTAATTAATTTTTTACCGCTTATTTTTTGAGTTTTTTTTTGAATTTTTAAAATTGTTTCCTAGGTTTCAAAGCGTTTAGAATTTAATGGTGAAAACCATTTTCCATAAAAATGAGTTTTAATTATTAATTTTTTTTTTCTACTCATTTATTCCATTAATTGTATGCATACATGTTTTTACCTTATTTTTTATGCTTTTTTAAAATTTTAAATTTATTTCCTGGGTTTCAATATGTGTAGAATTCAATGGAGTCAATCAAATTTTTTAAAACTCAACGGTTCATTTTTAATACTGAAATTTGACACATTTTTTCACTTAAATTTCTACAGGTTAATTTTCATTCTTTTTTGACATTTTATATTTATTTCCTACACTTCAAGACATGGTAAAAATGATGGTAACAATTATTTTGCATCAAAATGAAAACTATATCTTGAATCCTGCATTTGACACGTTTTTTTTAATTAATTCTTCACTTTTTCCCTCAATTGTTTGCATTAGTTTTTTTACCTTATATTTTATGCTTTTTTGAAATTTCAAAGTTTTTTCCTACATTTCAAAGTGTTTAGAATTTAATGGTAACATTCAATTTCCATAAAAATCAACAGTTCATTCTGAATACTGTAATTGGTCATATTTTTCAATTGATTTTTAAGAGCTTAATTTTTATTATTTTTGTACATTTTAAATTTGTTTCCTACACTGTCAGACATGAATAAAATGATGGTAATAACCATTTTGCATCACAATGAAAAGTTTTTCTTGAATAATGCATTCCACATGTTTTTTTAATTAATTCTTACACACTTAATTATCCTTATTTTTTGGAATTTTAAGTTCATTTCCTACACTTTAAAAGGTTTCAAAATGATGACTGTATCCATTTTGCATTCAAATAAAATTTGTATACGGTACAAATTATGCAAGAAACGGGGTACACTCATTTATTAAGATTGAAGCTTGTATTTTTAGTGAAATTGGACTTCACCATTCAAGTCTACACATTTTTAAATGTAGGAAATGAATTTAAAATCTAAAAAAATGCTTCAAATCAGGCCGGTAAAAATCAATCAAAAAAACATTAAAAAAAACCTGTCCAACGCAGTATTCAGTAACAATCACTGATTTTTATGTAAAATTGTTGTGAACATCATTTTTATCATGTCTTAAAGTGTGGGAAATAAATTTAAAATGTCAAAAAATAATGAAAATTAAGCTGTAAAAAATTAAGTGAAAAAAGTGTCTAATTTCAGTATTAAAAATGAATCATTGAGTTTTAAGAAAATTGAATGTTACCATCAAATTCTGAATGTATTAAAGCCTAGGAAACAAATTTAAAATTTCAAAAAAACATAAAAAATAAGGTAAAAACATTTATGCATACAATTAATGGAAAAAATGAGTAGAAAAAAAAATTAATAATTAAAACTCATTTTTATGGAAAATGGTTTTCACCATTAAATTCTACGCGCTTTGAAACCTAGGAAACAATTTTAAAAATTCAAAAAAACTCAAAAAATAAGCCATAAAGAATTAATTAAAAAACCGTGTGTAAACGCGGAATCCGCGTGTGCTGCGCGCAGCAGAAACCGTGTGTAAACGCGGAATCCGCGTGTGCTGCGCGCAGCAGAAACCGCGTGTAAACGCGGAAAAACCGTGTTTTTCTATTAAGGCCCTTATTTATTTATTATTTTAACAACAATGTATAATATTTTCCAGTATTCAATCAGTTATTATTATTTGCAGTTACTAGGTACATTTCACGTACTGTGAAAGGTGCTCTGTGGCTGACACTGGGATTGTGGAGGGTGTGTGTTCTGAAGTGTGGCAGGTACCCCTCCCCCTCCCCCCAATTGGTGCCAACTTGCAACCTCTGCTTGTGAATAATGAAAAGAAGAATACATTCAATGAGTGGGTTTGTATGAGAATACAAGATTCCACACATTTGGCTCCTACTAAGCAGAATTAAGGTCTCATCCCAATCTTTGCCTCATCACCTCCACCATTAACACCCTGAGGGCCTCATCTGAGTGCCTGATTCTTGCACTTCAACTACATTCCATTCATACAACAACAACAACACTGCATTTCTCTTTTTTGGTGAGTGAGTGATCTCCTGATCCTCAACAAGCAAGGAAAAACTCACACACAAAGACAAAACCCCCCATGTCTTTATTGATGATTCTTTTATAGCGGGGTAAACTGTTATATGTTCAATCACCCAAGATGCTGTGATTCCAAGGATCTGGTGATTACCCAGCTCAAAAACAGCATCAGTACCCTGTCCTTTGTTGTGCAAGACTACCAGAATACAACACCCACACACACCAAAAAAAAAATTGGAGAAGAGGATGAGGGGCCACTGATGCTACAAGACTGCATATTGGTCCAAGAAGAAGCTGAAATGACCAGCAATAGCTTCTTGCACAAGAAACCTCAACACTGCTGGTCAGGTCTGCAGACTTGAAACTTATGTAAACCAAAAGTTGATCAAATTTTTGCTGAGAAAATCGATCTCAGAAATGTGCTAGCTAGCAAGCAAGAAAAACAAATGTTGGGTGTGAGAAGCCAAAATGAAAAAAGGGGGGTTGGAAAAATGACTCCCAAATTTTAGTCAAGGACTCCCGTTTCGGTTGGGAGGTTGTCGAGTGGGAGTCGTTCTTCCAATTCCCGGGAGTCGTCGGCCTAATTCCACAGGCAATTTTTTATTTTTTTTGAATTGAAAATTTGGGAGTCGTCCACCTAAAAGGCGGGAGTCGGCACCCCAAATTTGATCCTTAATTTTCTTGATTCTTTTTTTTTTCCTTGGGAGTCGTCAGGCTAATTTCCCCAGACAGAAAGGGAGTCGATGGCCCAATTGTCCAAACTGACAACTGGGCTTTTTTTCGTCTTGCAGGAGTTGTTGACAAATCCCTAGGAGTTGGTATGAATTGTACAATGAAATTGTTCGCCGGCCTGATTGGTATCAAAATGTGTTCCACAAACTCCACGGCGCTTTGGATTGTATCAAGGTTGATTCGCCATCACCTTGTTCAAAGCCTCATTGGATGTCCATGCCTTCGACGGGTGAGGTAATGACAAATGCCTTTGAGAGGCCTGTTTGCTTCTTTCTGACACCTTTTGCCAGACTTTTCTTCCTTCTTTCTGCCCCCCCAATGACAACCCCCCTATTTTTATTGCTTTTCTACATGAATTTTCTCATTTTTTCCCCTTGCAGTTACATAACCCAAGACATTTTGCTGCCCCTCAGCTCATGAAGGAGTGGAAAAAAAGGCGTCAGAAGAGGCTTGGGGATGGGAAGCTCAATTTTCTGATTCTTTCGAATTGACTGTAGAGAGGAAAATAGAAAATCCAATGAAACACTACTAGGGTTTTTTTTTATCCTGTGTCTTTTTTAGTTTTTGATTTTTTTTCCTCTATGTCCTTTTTTACCCTTTTTTTTTCTTACTTTTCTGATCATTTTTGAATATTTTTGGCCCGTTTGTCATCTCTTTTATCTCTTGCAATGGTTTTTCTCAAACAATCTAATTTTTTTATCATTGATAAATTGCCTTTGGGGTGGGGCCTCAGTGGCTCAACCTTTTTTTGGAGTCTCTGAGGGTGCCATATGGTGACGACTCCCATTTCTAGTTGGACAAATCCCGTCTTTTTTTAATATAGAAAAAAAAGGCAAAACATTTGGCGGAATTGGTGCGACGACTCCCTTGTATTAGGTGGACGACTCCCGTCAATTTAAATATAAAAAAGGGCGAAATATTAGGCGGAATTGGTGCGCCGACTCCCACACTTTAGGCGGACGACTCCCTATTTTTTTAATAAAAAAAAATGAAAATTCTCCAGGTAAAATTAGTGTGACAACTCCCTATTTTTTTTGGGGAATTGGAAGAACGACTCCCATTCGACGACCTCCCGACCAAAACGGGAGTCGTCGACTAAAATTTGCGAGTCATTTTTCCAAGCCCCCCAAAAAAAGGCTATTGTGAACCCTGCTAGTATATCTGGCCTGCAAGAAACCATCAGTACTCATAAGCTGGGGTTGGTTAGACTGAAAAACCGGTCATGAGGACACATGCACAAGCGTTGATGGATTGGCCTTTTGATGTCACACACAGACCCCTCGCCTCAGCTTGTAGTACTACAGCCCTGGCTTGAAGCTCCCTGCACCCCCCCCCCCTCACACAAATAGACACATCCTGACCCACACAGACAAACAAAACAAAAGAGAAACCTCAACTCAAAACAATTGTATGTATGTAATGTATGTATTGAAGTAATTAATGGTCTTATTTAACATGTGTGTACTACAGAGTATTATATAAATACTTTATTGTATATTATGGCCATACCAAAAAAAAAAAAGAAAGAAAGAAACTTGGAATGAAAAATAAATAAATAAAAAATAATAATAACACATGGTCTCCACTCCAGGAGAAGTAAACAAGCATAAAATCCCAAAGCTTCCGTCTTCCCCCCCCCCCCCCCCCCCCCCCTTTCCCCAGCTCTTGCCCCTCCCAGCAACCCCTCTACCATCCCACAAATCTATGTCTACACCAAAAGCCACACAAAAAGAGATAAAAAAAGGATAAAATACTGCTACTACTTGACTACTACTACTACTTCTACTTCTACTAATCATATGTATACACATATCTACAACAGAAAAAAAAATCAAAAGGAATGGGGGAGTGAGAGAGAGAGAGAGATAGTGTGTGTGTGCGTAAGATGCGTTAAGGTTGAGAGACAGAGAAGAGTACATCGAGAAAGAACGTATCAAACCCTGAACACAGGTGCAAAGTAAGAGATAAAAATATATAAGTGTATGTGTGTGTGTTAAGAAGGAATAACGTATATGCAAAAGAAAATATATATGTGTGTGTGTAATCAATAGCTTGCCGTACCCAAATCATGACACTCTGCGTGGAAGAAGAAAAAAAGACCATCGAGATGGTGACGATGACGAGGAGTTGCAACCAGTGTTGTAGACAGCTATATAAAGAACAGATACCCTTTCCCTTCCCACACCCTTCTTTCTCCTGCCTCCCCGCCCCCCCCCGCCCAAAAAAAGCGAAATAAAGAATGAAAGAATGGATAGTGGTATAAATGAATAAAAGACCCCCAGTGTCCCCCCCCCCTCCCGACGTCAGAAGAAGAAGAAAAAGAAGGAGAGGGAGAGAGACAGAGAGACAGTTAAACTTTGAAGCGTTTGTGGGGGTTTTGGGGCGTTTGAGAGGGATGCTCTGGGAGCGGGACCGAATGGCCATGGAAGTGATCGATGAGGTTGAAGTTGAAGCGATTAGGGTCGAGCGGATGATGATGATCATCGGGCTCGTTCTGATGATGATGAGGATGCGAATGGGGATGGTTATGATTCTGATTATTCTGATGGTTGTTATTGATGAAATCGATCTGGTCTTGAGAGTAACAAGGTCGTTTAGGGTTTCGGTTCATGTCGGTAAGATATGGGAGATTGGAGGAAGGGTTGGCGGTGGTAGTGGTGGTCGAGGAGGAAGAGGACAAGGATTGCTGGGTGGTCAGTTGGCTTCGTCGAGGTGAGCCCGGTGGCGATCTGGATGCTTGTTGGGTGGGGTGAGATTCCAGGTTGATCGACACCGAATCAGACTCATTGGTTTCAGTAATCAGATTGATACCTTTTGATGTATGAAAAAGATGTTTCTTGTTTTTTTTTTTAATGGTGAATTAGATCGTTAAAAGGAATCATTGAGTGGAGTCAATTCTTAGTTATTGAAGGACGTTGGGGTTTTTTGATCGACTTACTTGTAACATGATGATCATGCCTTCCTTAGTAAACGGTTTGGGTAGACAATCATTCATACCTACATGAGCAAGCAAAGTCCATTAGAAAAGAAAATAAATAAAGAATCAAGAAATGAGGGAATGTATACCGATGTTAATATATTTGAGCACGTCGACGGGTTGAAAATTTGAAGTCATTGAGATTATGGGAGTTTTCAAGTCGAATTTACGAATCAGACTAGTAGCTGACAGACCTATTTTGATAAAAAAAACAAAGATCAACAAGACGAATCAACAAAAGAAAAAGGGGGATTGGAGTTTACATACCATCCATGTTGGGCATAAAGATGTCCATGAGGACGAGATCGAAGGGGTCATTAGCGTCGATTTGAGTTTTCATCCTGGAGACTGCATTCAAGCCATCGCAGGCAAACTCGATCCTACAGCCCATCAGCTCCAAGATAGTCGAGGAGATCCTGCGACAGATCTGATCATCCTCCACGATCAACACTCGAGGTTGCTGTCCCGGCCATCCTCCGTTGCTCTTCGTAGGTGCTCTCGGCATCGGAGCCATCATCGAATTGAGATTGGTGGTAAAGTATTGGGTGGGGGTCATGATTAGAGAGGTGGTGATTTGGTCGATCGGCTTGTTGGATTGTTGATTATTACTACTTTCTTCTGCTGTCTCAATACTTTGATCGACTATTTTATTCAAAGTTGCTTATTTTAATAATCATTGGCCGGAATGTGAGATAATGATCTGCTTGTCAGTCGAAGATAAATATATATGCCAGTAAAAAAAAATAAAAAATAAAAAAATGAACGAACGTGCAGTGAGCGAGTTTTGAAGAGATTGTGAAGTTAATTCCAAGTAGGATTGAGAGGCTTGATGACGAGGGTTAGGATCGGTTAAGAGATCTATCTGACGTTGTTGGAGGTCTAATCGATTATGAGCCTGGTCGAGTTTCTCTCGTAAACTTTGACATTCCTTGGTGAGTTGGTTTAAAGCAGAGGTAGTCTCGATCTGGTGATTCATGAGTCGATTGACGATATCTTCTGTTCGCTCACCGTTACAGCTAGTAGACTGACACTCGGTCTGATGAGATGTGCATGTGTTCTCGGCTGGCTTCTGACGGGCGGCTGGAACCTTGCGTTTGATGTGATCTAGCTCAGATAGCGTGTCCGCTCGGAAGTATGGATGGTAGAATTCCCACTGCTAAGAGGGTGATTTGCAAGATCCCAAAAGTCAGTTTGCTGTTTGTGTGAATAAAAAGAAGGATAGAGAGAGTATAAGAAATAGAAAGGCCTGGAATATGTGATCGTCCTTCTGGTTCTTATCCAAGAAGGATGCATGGATGAAAGAGAACATACATTCATACATGTTTATGTATGTATGGATGGATGGATTTAACATACCAATGAGCCAGTAGGATTCTGATTATTATTCTGATTGAGAGGATTGCTCTGCTGATCTGGATTAGTACCAGCAGGAGTGTTCTGATTGTTGATTGCTGCTGCTGCTGCTGCTGCTGATGAGGAGGAGGAGGAGGAGACCTTGATCTTTCTGAAATCGTACTTGTTGAGCTGTCTGACGAAGCTAGCAAAGTTAGAGTGTTTGAAGTGTTTGGGGAGGATGTCTCTTTGGAACAAGATCTGGTCCTTGATCACCAGGGTGGTTCGTTGTGCTCCCCATCCGACGACTGATTCTGACTCTGGTTCTTCTAGCATCTTGTATAGTTTTTTGACGAATTCGGATGGTCCGTTACTGTGATGATTGTTGTTGTTGTTGTTGTTGTTGTTGTTGTTGTTGTTGTTGTTTTGTGATTTGAGATTGTTTTTTGAGGAGGATGTTGATGGTTCTGGTGCTGGTTGGAATTTACAGTCGATGGGAGATGATGAGGATGATTTGAGTGGGATGGCTTCCATAGCTGTTTGTTGTTGCTGTTGATTCTGGTGCTGGTGTTGGTTGTTGTTGTTGTTGTTGTTGTTGTTGTTGTTGTTGTAGTGGTGGTGGTGGTGATGGTTGAGTTGTTGTTCTTCGTTTCCCATCTTTTTTCTCGTTTCTTGTGTGTGTGTGTTGTTGACCGTTTCTTGGTGTTGATGGTTGTTGTTGTTGATTGTTGATGGTTGTTGGTTGATGAAGTGCAGTTGAAGTTGATTGAAGCTGTGAAGATTAATGTCAGCTGGGATGTTTCTGCCCAGTTTTAAATTCCGGCACAATCAACCCTCGATGACGTGCTCATCCACGATCGAAACTGATCACAGCAAAAACAAAAACAAAAACAACAACTAACTGAAAACTGAAAATTGAAAAACAACCCAGGCAGGCTCATTCAAGATGTTCGGCCTAGGAAACATACTCTACGTCTCACTCCTGCTCATCAACTCACTGGCCATCCTAAACGAGGAGCGATTTCTAGCAAGGAGTTAAGCCCCCCAACTCACGTAAAACAACCATACTCATCATCATCATCATCATCATCATCATCATCATCATCACCCTATCACCAAACTGACACCTCCCTTGCCTTGCTTTGTTTCAGTTGGCTGGTCCACAAAGACACTCACTAATCCGATCCAATTCCAGGACCCTTCGATGAATCCTCAGGCCAGTAGTACCGTCAAGGAACGACTCATCAATCTCATCGGAGCCGTTCGGACACTCATGAGGAGTTGAGTGATCCCTATTCTCTTCTTTACCAAACAAAGCAAGACTGATGATGACTTGTTATTATTAGTTCCACTCATCGGATTGAATATAGTCGTCATCATTTATGAGTTACTCCTGGGATGATATCTTGCCCATATTCCACTGCAACAATAGATACACACCAAAAAACCCTCTCCTTCTCTTCAAGTTTATGTGCTTGTTTTTTATTTTTGTCAGTTTTGATCATTCACGAATGAAGCCCCATCTGAATTCTAGGCATATGGGTCTACAATCTACTATGGCCAATTGGAAATCGTTCTACAAATCTTCTTCTCCTTTCTTGTCCATCTTATAAATATCTCATTTGTCTTCTTCTTCCTCCTGTTGAATAAGCAAACGAGGATGATGGTGATACAGGCGAGCTGTGGGATAGGTGTTGATATGTTATCGTTTGATGAATGACAAACGATCGAGGAAAGCCTAGTAAGTAGCTTTCTCTTGGGTTGAGGTGTTTTTTTTGTTAAGGTGGTTGGTTGTATGCGGGCTTGAGGTTTGTGCATCATCAGCTGGAGAAGAGAAGAGATCGACCGAGAGTGAGTCGAAGCAGTCAACAGGAGCCATGAGCAGCCTCAGAACAACCACGACCATCCCAGCCAACAAGACCAGAACAACCACCACCGCCGACTTCAGCTCAGCACTCTACGCCTTCCTCAATGCACTGCCCAAGCTCACCCTCGCCCGACTCTACAACACCCCGGCCAGCTGTCTCGCTATCTTCAGGTCACTCACTCTCTCGTGTCTCATCGATTCATCACTTATCTTTTGTTTTTCGCCCTCTAGGTTGTTGCCCTTGATCGCTAGACATCTCGTCCTTAATCTGCTCTGGTCCGATCACTCGATCGACAAATCCCAGCTCGAGCTTTGGGCCGACATCAACCATTCGGAATCGAGACGTATGTCTCTCTCTGCTCGATTTTTTTTTTTTTTTTTCATTTCGGTGGCTGTGATTATTGAAGCTGATGATGATGATGATGATGATCGATTCGATTACTTGGGTTCTTTAGACACGTGGAGGATAGTCTTACGAAGCTCTTTCGCTTGAACATCGTCGAACAATCCTCCCTCGACTCATCATCATCTTCCTTTGATGATCCAAGGAACCATCATCATCTTACTCTGACTCTAAACCGCTCGTTCCAGCAAAACTTCCGACGCGCTTTGACGGGAGGGTGAGCATCCCAAACAAACTCATATATTTCTAGAATCATCGGAAGCAGTCGAGCACCACCGAATCTGACATATCCATCTCGATATCCTTCCATTCCCCCACAATCAACAAGCGGGAACCATTGCTCATTTGGTGTGCCTTGTAATACCTCGTCTAACGCGGTGGTTTCGATCGACGAACTGGATCGATATGGGACCGAGAAATGGGAGGTCTGCCTCCCTCGATCTTGGAGCTCTCCAAGTTGGATTCACAACTAATCCGTCTTTTCGCCTCTCCTTTTGAACGCTTTGTTTTTCTTTCTAGACGATTCTTCATTACATGGTTGGCTCCCGATTACCCACTAAACCGAGCCATAATATCCTCAGCTTGTTGGGTCAAAGTGGCTTGATGACCTCCTCGTAAATCATTTGTTTCACGGATTTCAGCTTTTGAAAATCAAAAAATCAAATCTAACTTTCTTTGGGGGACCGAAATATAGAGATCCAAGGTCGCTCCAGAGTTTGAAGATCACTTCGAAAGGGTTTGGGTTTCTGCTAGAAGACGTGAACACTCAGTTGTGGGATATCTTACTCCAATATCTCAAGATGACCGAGGTATGTTATAGGCCATCAACAAGTTCCCGTCATCATCTAAGAACACTTGGAAATTGATCCGAATTTTCTGCTTCGTAGGTTAATGGACTCGATGTGGTTGACGTCTTGGCTTGCTTGTTTATGCTGGGAAGTTTGGAATTAGGTCAAGTCAGTTCATCTTCCACCAATCCGATTCCCATTCATTCAAACATGTACGGTCTCATTTACGATTTGCTTTACAGGAATATTCTTTTTCTAATTGGACTCCAACTCAAACACAGGTCCTACAAGACTTAGTAGATTACGGTTTAGTACTTGTTTCGGCTGTTAGTCATCGCCATCTGGATTTCTTATAGTAGTATATGAATCTCTCCGGGAAAAATCCATCTCAGCTGAAGCGTTGATCGTTAGCCAGATCGGTTCTACCCTACTCGATTAGCGACCACTCTTACCTCTACAGCCCCTCCTTTGGTCTCCGCCGAAAGGGCACAAGAAGAACACGGGTTCTTGGTCCTCGAGACTAATTATCGGATCTATGCATACACCAGTCAGCTTTGTCCCTTTTTCTTTGGTTTTCGATTCGCTTGGAAATCATACAATAACCCGATTGATTTTTTTTTTTTTTGAATCGGTATACACACTGGACAAATATACAAAAAATATATAGGCAATCCATTACAGATCGCCGTGTTGAACTTATTTCTTTCGTTAAGGTATCGGTTTCCGAACTTGGTGGTAGGAGCGGTGACGAGAGAATCGATCAAGTCGGCGCTGTCGAACGGGATCACGGCCGACCAAGTGATCATGTATCTGCACACTCATGCTCATCCTCAGATGAGGAAACTCGAGCCACTCTTGCCACCGACGGTCGTCGATCAAATCCGACTATGGGAGCTTGAAAAAAATCGGATCCGTGCTCAAGAAGGTCCGCTTCTCTACCACACGTTTTTTTTCTCTTTCTTCCTTAATTATTCCAAGCTCGGTCATTCTCAAAGGAAGAAAAAAAATCTTATGCTGTTTCTGGACGATTCGATCGATCACAGGTTATTTATATGAGGATTTTAAATCGGCAGCTGAGTATGATTCAGTCATCCAATACTCCAGGAAGCTGGGCATCGTCTTATGGGAACATGCTGGCCTGAGGAAGTTGTTTGTCGGATACGATGGCCATCTTACTCTGCGAGAGTTTTTTCGACGTGGAGGAGCATCGAATGGGAATATGTAATCAACCATTGATAGAGACTCAATTCATATATATAACCATTTTCTTCTTGAGAGGCTTCTCGCGAAGGGGTTCTTGAGATCCATTCAATTCCAATGAAAATTCATGCATGGATTTCAAAAAAGTGGAAGAATTTGTGTCCAGTAGAGATCGTAGCTCATTCCAATGCTCTCGGGGAACCCATCCAGTACTCATTGTCGTTGTCTGTTGCGCTTGTGTGGGGCTTTGGAATGGCTGGTGTGATTGAGCCCATCGAAATTTGAGACTTGCTTTTGAGTAGAGAGCAATCTGATTCTGGAGTGAACCTGGGTGACCGGAGCTCGGATCTCGGATCGGCTTGGGCCGCACCCGACCGACTGAGCTGCAAGCTTTTACATAACACGCGCCGATGGTCTACAACCCTCGGAGGCTCGGATGCCTGGCGGCCGCCTAACTTTTCGAGTATGGACCAACATCAATCAAATCATCCCATGAGGAGTCTTCTGGATAAGACATACGCAACTTCAACATCGACTCAAAACATCGCCATCCTCTCGCCTTTCGTCCAGCTTTCATTCGTCTTCCATCTTGCCATAGCCCAGCTTCAAAGACATATCCAGGAGACTCCTGACTGTGTCGTGACAGTGATCGGATCTTCCTCCCAAGCTGCTTTCCAGAATACGTTGGCCGATGAACATGATGCGGTCTTGTTCACTGACTCGTCCTCCGACTGTCTGACCAAGACCCTTCTCGAACGCATCGAATTCCGGTCTGTCTCTTCTCGTCGTCCTCGTAACACTATGATTGACTTCCAAAAAACAAAACAAAGAAAGGCAAAGTCCTTCTTATACTCTACTGATTCTTAACATAGCAAGGCTCGGGATTGATGATCCACGCCGCCCAAAAAAAATATCTGAAAAAAAAAAAAAAAAAAACAAGATTTTGTGCGGATTTAGCTCAACTTCTGACTCTCTTATGTGAGCTGGGTCACTCACCCGTCGAGAGACCGACTCTTAATGATGATGAAGAGGATCGTGGAATGAGGAGTCGACGGATTGGGCTAATAATCACCGACCTGACAAGCTACTTGATCTCTTTGTGAGCGAATACTACTACTAAACACTGTTTTAATAGCTGTCCGGTTCTGATGAAGTTCTTCTCGATTCCTTGAACAGGCCGACGCCAACACTCTCGGATCTTACGCGCTTGCTAGGCTTCCTCAGTTGTACCCAAACACGACTACCATCAATCCATCATCATCATCATCATCATCATCATCCACTCCAGAATCCGCCGCCAATTTATCTGGTCGATCGTGTCGATCACACTCAGAAATGGCCCTTGTCGACTCCGACCGCCGATCCTGAAGATCTCAGGAACATACTCGAGATCTTCCGTCATTTCTTTGCTCAGATTTGGACGATTGATGGGCTTCATGAAACTGGTAAGCTTTGATCTGTAGTTCACACCGCCACTGATCGACCAAATTTTTTTTTCGTGTTCTCTTTCTAACATTGGGTTCCCCTCGGAGATTCCAACACGGGTGACGATAGTCCTACTACTACTCCTGCGGCTGTTGGGACCTCTAGCAGTCCTAAGCCCGGGCGATACCGGCTGTATTCTTTACGCTCGGCGGCGGATTCTTCCGCCGATGATGACGATCAGATCACGTATCAGGTCCTCGAACAGGATGCACTCGACCCCCAATATTCCGCGCATCCTGAAAGGTTACTTCGGAAGACTGTCGTTGTTCCAGGCTGCTAGGATAATCTCAACTAGTCACCTTTCTTCGGAATTCATGTATGCTAGCTTAAACCAGCCATCACTGAAGTCGATCGGGCCGATTCTTAGATATCTGTCACTAATTGTGTCCTATAACCGCAATCACCAATCTATCATGATATCTAATGCCAGAGCCATGTGCAGATATCCCAGGATGAACCAATGGCTTGGATTTCTTGAGTGAGATAACAAGCAGAGATTTGTATGGAAAAAAATCGACTATGTTTGATCATGCACTCAACTGGAATCTCACTCACATTGTTTGCATTGTTTTTATTTTTATTTTTTTTCTGTTGCAGCCTGCCTGCACTGATAATCCCAACCGACAGAGCAGCTCTTTTTGCAGATGTGCAGCATCTGTTCTATTTGATTTTGTATACCCTTAATGTACTCTTGATCTTAATATAGCTACAAAAGAAAACCAAGCAAGATGGCTTGTTTTTTTTTTGGTTCATGTACATAGGTTTTGAGTTGATGTTCAGCTTAATAATGTAATCCAGCCCAAAACTTGAAAACCTTGGACTTTCTAAATCCATCTCCAACATCAAAAAATTTAAGTAGATGGAAATGTCGGGATGGTGGGCTCACTCAGGCCACTATCCCAGCTCAAAAAAAAAGTAAAGCTTATGGGAGTTTGTGAGAGGTAGGTCTGAAATGAGGTGTTCTCCACCAAAGCTTCTTGTCTGCTGTCTTGCCACCAGCTCAACAATCTGTGCAAGTCCCTCTAAAAATTACAGAGCCACCTCTGCAAAATTTTGTGCACTGGACTTGCATCAAGTTTGGCCTGCACCAGCTACATATGTAGTCTCATCCGGAGAGCTTTGGGGGACACTCCCCAGGGAGTCCGGAGGGGCTTGGCTTGGCTAATCAACTCCCAATAATCGCAGAGTTGACTCCCATACCCTTTGATTTCCCTGGAAATTCCCCCGTTTTCCCTAAAGAATGGGAGGTTATACCCCAAA